GATGGAATGGGATGGCAATCTAATTATGCTAGCCCTGGTTGATAAATAAACCAGTTATTTTCCCGTTGAACTGAAAAGCTACCTATGTTTAGCTTCCATACATCCTCAGGTCCATTATTTTTCTATTCTGTTCCACTTATCTATATAAATATTCTATTTATTCTGGTGACAATACTACACTGTTTCTCTTGACTATAGTAACTTTAAAAAAAATTGAAGTACAGTCGATTTACAATGTTTTAGGTGTACAGCAAAGTGATTCAGTTATACACACACACACACACACACACACACACTCTTTTTCAGTTTCTTTTCCATTATAGGTTATTGCAAGATAGCGAATATAGCTCCCTGTGCTATGCAGTAGGTCCTTGTTTATCTAGTTTACATACAGTACTGTGTATTTGTTAAACCCAGGTCCCCAATTTATCCCTCCCCTCCTTTTCCCCTTTGGCAACTATAAGTTTGTTTTCTATGTCTGTGAGTCTATTTCTGTTTTGTAAATAAGTTCATTTGTATCATTTTTTAAGATTCCACATATAAGTGATGTCATATGATACTTATCTCTGTCTGACTCACTTCACTCAGTATGATAACCTCTAGGTCCACCCATGTTGCTGCAAATGGCATTATTTCATTCTTTTTTATGGCCGAGTAATATTCCGCTGTGTGTCCTTTGATAAGATTCTATAACTTTCTCCATGTTTGACCTATAATTCTTTTTTAAAATTTGTTTCTGGGCATTTTACAATTTTTGTTGCAATTATGAATGGATTTTTCCAGTTCTAATTAGTCAGTATAGAGTAAAACTGTTGATTTTTTGGTGTAAACTATTGATTTACTCTGTGTCCTGTCACTTCCCAAATTCTCTTATTAATCCTGGTGGGTTGTTTTAATAGACCCTCTTGGGTTTTCTTGGTATACAATTACATCACCTGCAAATAAGAGAATTTTTTCTTTTCCAATGGTGACAGATTACTTTATTTTCTTGCCTTGCTACATTAGTTAAATACTACAGTATACTGTTGAATGATGGTGATGGAGGTATTCTTGACTTGTCTTTTGATAGAACACAGCTTCAGTGCTTTATCAGTTAATATGATATTTGGTGTTACATTTCTGCTTTTTGGGTAATTTTATCATATTTAAGTATTTCCTTTTATTCTCATACTACTTAAACTTTTTATTTAACAGATTTTTTTTAACCTTGTAGAAGAAGACATTTCAAAGCAAGATAGGAAACCTATGAGCCACAAAGCAAAAGAAAGACATACTTGACTTCACAAAAATGAAAAGAAATTGTTTTTAACTGGCGAAATACTATAAGTAAACACTAAAGTCAAACAAAATATAAAGTCAAGGAGAAAAAGGTTTGCAACCCATTTAATACCCCTAAGGAGCATCTACAAATCAGTAAGAGAAAATAAACAACATAATAAAAAATGAGCAATGAGTTTAAACAGGCAAGTTTTAAAAGAGGAAGCTTAAATAATCAATAAATAATAAGACATGAAGACACGTTCAAATGTACAAATTAGAAAAATGAAATATCATTTTTCTTCTAGCCTACTGGCCAAAATGATAAACACCAAAAATATTCATGGCAGGCAAGGATGCAGGTATAGGTGAGTATAAAAAACTATAACAGGGCTTCCCTGGTGGCACAGTGGTTGAGAGTCCGCCTGCCGATGCAGGGGACACGGGTTCGTGCCCCAGTCCGGGAGGATCCCACATGCCGCGGAGCGTGAGCCATGGCCGCTGAGCCTGCGCGTCTGGAGCCTGTGCTCCGCAATGGGAGAGGCCACAACACTGAGAGGCCTGTGTACCGCCAACAAAAACAAAAACAAAAACAAAAAAAAACTGTAACATTTTCAGAATATAGCTTGGTAATGTCTATTGACATTTAAAACACACAACCCATTTTTGGAAACCTGCCCTACAGAAATAGAAGCATCATATACATATAAGGATGTTTCGGTACTGCCTGCAGTGGCAAAAAGCCAGAAATCATTTCAATGTCCATCAATAGGTGAATAATTAAATCACAATATATGATATGATGGGATTTTACTCAGCCATTAAAAAGAATAAAGTAAAATTTTTGTATCTGTTGACCTGGAGGGATGCCCATGATATTCTGTTAAGTGAAAAAAGCAACACGCAGAGTTATGGGTAAGAGGCTATTTTTGTTGTTAAAATAAAAACAAAAGAAAACATAACCCTGTATCAAGTATATGTTGGTAGGAATAGGGAGAAAGGGGTTCGGAGATGATGGCAGGAGAGATTTTAATTCTTCATAGACTTTTGAATTGTTTAACTTGTTAAAAATTTATCAGGTACGCTCATGTAATTAAAAATTAACCAAGACAATTTAAAGGAGGAAGAAAAGGGACCTGCCTCAAAAACATCAATACATTTCACTTGATTGCTCTGTGGCCTGCAAACTTCTTGGCTTCTATCTATTGATTCCCCTTCCTCTTCCAAGTGAAGTGAGCTGGGATGGCGGGGGAGAAGCTGGGAGACACAGGTGTACCTGCCCAAGAGGGAGGGAGGGAGAGAGAGTGAAAGAAAGAGGAGAGAGTGTGGCAGGGGCCGGTGACGGGGTGGTGGTCAGAGAGAGGGAGCTGGTGTCAGGATCAGCTTCCACATATGGGAGCAGGGACTGTGGGGCTAGCCCTGGAGACAGGGATGCGGGAGGAGAGCTGCCTCAGGAGAGCAAGGTGGTTTTCACAGCCTCCTGGGCTGTCCACCAGACCCCTGACCCAGGGGAGCCTGAGGTCCTAATGAAAATCCCTCCATAGGCCTTTCAAACATCCCGGAGCAGGTGGGTAGTTCATTCCTTCATTCTTCCACTCAATCACCTAATAAGCATCTACCTTGTGCCTCTCCCATGCTACGTGCTGAGGAATCGGCCTGTTCAGGACAGACACGGCCCTGCCTGCAGACAGCTTCCAGCGTGGTTGGGGGAGCCCACACCTCAGTGCTGGTCACACTGTTTCTGTCTGGCCCAAGCTCAGTTGGGGCTGAATGGGGTGCTACGAGGGCCAGGCTTAGCACACAGGCTCTGATCTGGACCACAGACCGCAGCTCAGACCCCAGCCTGCTGCCTGACACCCCGCACCACTGATGACGGGGCTGCAGATGGCACGGGGAAGCCACTTTCCAGCGGCCTCGTGCTCTGGGGGCCTGGGGGGCTTCCAACCCAGTCTGCGGGGGGAGACCGAGTTCACACCGGGGTCGGGGGGACCTCCACGTTGCCTGGCCCGGCCTCACTGCAAAGTCAGTTAATAACGGTGCCAACTCCAAGTGTGTGGGCCGCTGGCCTCCTTGCCCACATAATTAAAAGGGCATCTGTGTGTCTGCGTGGCTGACGAGGAGACAAGAGAAGGTCCCGCCCTTCCCTAGGGATGTGTGTGTGTGCGTGTGTGTGCGTGTGTGTGTGTGTGTGTGTGTGTGTGCACGCATGCGTGCTCATGTGTGCCACACTGGTGCTGGAGCAGACAGGGCACTGAGGCCCCTCGGGGTGAGGCCTCAAGGTCTCTCCTCCTCAATCTACGGGAAACAACATTCTAGACCCGCCAGTGTCCCCCAGCGTCAGCCTCCACAGCCGTATCTCTTCCCTCGGTCTGAGGGACACAGATGCACCCCGACCGGGCTGGGGCAGGAGAAAGCCCCAGCGCTGAGGGTGGAAAAGGGACTCCCCTCCGGCCGCCCTCTGCCCCCTGACTGCCCAGGTTGCCCCTGCACCTGCCGTGGTCCCCACCGAGGCTGCTCTGTGGCAGTGATGGCAGGGAAGGTGAACTCATGGGAATTAGAAGGGCAAACAGAGCCCAGGAGAATTAGGCAGGAAGGCTGGCTGCAAAAACCCGAGTGATGCCGAGAAAAAGTATCTGGGGAACAGACACCAAGCTGTTGATGCCAGTTATGTCTGGAAGGGCTGACCTACAGGGGACTTTTACCTCTAAATTATATCATTTGACAACTTTCAAAACTGTATTAATAAACATGCCTTACTTTTGTAACAAGAAAACCGAAGTCCAAGTGACATGAAGATAAATGCCAGGTCATAATCCAAACATGGAGATGTTCGAGAGCCCCTCAGAAGCAGCTGCCATGTCTACTCTCTTGGGTCCATCGTCCCCAGTAACAGGATAAGCCCTCATCCCTCTGGCTGCCATGTCTCATGTAGGACCCTCAGACCCTGAGTCTTGGGCTGAAACTCCGACATTTCAGGGCAGAAGGAGTCAAAGCCCCAAGGGCAGGACCCCACCTTTTGGTTCCAGCTCTGCCACACCGAACTGAGAAAATCCCTCCTCTTCTCTGGGCCTCAGGCTACTCATCTATAAAATGGGGCTACAAAATACATGTTCTGTCCACCTCCAGAGTCTGTTGTGAGACCAGGAACTTTGAAAATAAAATCACAAGCACTAAAGCATCATGCAAGCAGTGGAGAGCCGTCCACCACCCCAAGCACTGTTATCATGACCCATGGGGCGCGTTCCCCTTCTGATGGTGGCCACTTAGGACACACCCACATCAGTGCAGTCACCACAAACACCAAGGGGCCCTGGGCACACCGTCTCTTTGCTTGTTAAGACCAGTGAAGCCAGGAGTCCCCCTTCCTGAGACATAGACAAGCACTGAAAAGAGGTGGTACGGACCTGCCTTAGAAAGATGCATTTTCATACTTTGCAAAAAACCTCAACTGACATCACACTTCTGCACAGATCCATAGTGCTGTCCATGGCATTGCTGCCCCCAAATTAGTGCTTACTGGTGAAACGACCCCCAGGGGACCCTCCTGATGCAAGCAAGCACCCTGCTGAGGACCAGCCACCCACGTGGTGCAGGCGGGGAGCCAAGGGCACAGAGAGGGCCAAGGACCAGTGTGAGCCACGTGGACGGGCGGCGGGCCCCGGCCTGGTGCATGTGGCACTGCTTGGTTGGCTGATGGCTCAGATGTGGGTTGCCATCCCGGAGAGGGCGCAGTGGGGACTTACCTCTCTCTCGGGCCCACGTGTAGATGCGGCTGCTCTCAGTACTTCTGGGCTCTTGCTCTGCTGGCTCCGTGGGCAATGGTCGGAAGTGGGGGTGATCGGCCTGGCCGGGGGTCTTCAGGGGCAGGATGTACTTGGGGATCCCTCTGTAGAACCAGGCCCCCGACCTCTTCCAGACCTGGAGGGGGAGACATCTGCTCAGAGCACAGGATGCAGAGCAGTCCTCCCTGTACCCTGCTCCCAGCCAGCCCCGCCTCCCAGAAGGCACTCAAGAGGCCACTGCATTCCTCCGGGCTGCCCCTTCCCCTCGAGACTCTGGGCAGAGCGACGAGAGGTCAGGGGAAGAGCTGGGCTGGCCACGGCCTGGCACTGACCATGGTCCTGGAGAGCTTCTCGGGATGTGATTATCTCTGTGGGGGGCACAGACGGGACCCCAGAGTTTAGAGAGAGCCACAGATTAGAATTCAGAGCAGCGAGTGCAATAAGGTTCCTGAACCCTTAACGCCTGCTTCAGAAAACGCCAAGTGCTCTGTAATCTCTTTCCTGATGAAGGAAATGTGTTCAGGGTATTTATAAGAAGAGTGGGAGCGTGTGAAGGAAGGAGGTGACCTTTTCTGAGAAGAGGAAGCCTTGGCGGCTCAGAGCAGATGTGTGGGTTTGAATCCTGGATCTGTCATCCCGCAGCTGGGAGATCTGGACGCATCAACCTTCGTGACCCTCAGTTTTATCATCGGTAGGTGGAAGGCAGGAACAGTGCCAGCTCCCAGGACGGCCATGAGGGTCAGGCTTGCAAGTGAATGTAAATTCCCATAGACTGGTGCCAGGTGCAGAGCAGCCACTCGGCAGACATGGTGCCCACTAGCGTCACTGTCACCCTCCTCCTGTCATCTGACAAACGTGCACAGCTTTACAACCAGGGGACCAAGCCTCCTACTCAAAAGGGACAATTTAAAATCAAAAGGCCAATCATCAAAAAATCTACAAACAAAAAATGCTGGAGAGGATGGAGAAAAGGGAACCCTCTTGCACTGCTGGTGGGAATGTAAATTGATACAGCCACTATGGAGAACAGTATGGACTTTCCTTAAAAAACTAAAAATAGAACTACCATATGACCCAGCAACCCCACTACTGGGCATATACCCTGAGAAAACCACAATTCAAAAAGAGTCATGTACCACAATGTTCATTGCAGCTCTATTTACAATAGCCAGGACATGGAAGCAACCCAAGTGTCCATCGACAGATGAATGGATAAAGAAAATGTGGCACATATATATATAATGGAATATTACTCAGCCATAAAAAGAAACGAAACTGAGTCATTTGTAGTGAGGCGGATGGACCTAGAGTCTGTCATACAGAGTGAAGTAAGTCAGAAAGAGAAAAATAAATACCGTATGCTAACACATATATATGGAATCTAAAAAAAAAAAAAAAAGGTCTGAAGAAGAACCTAGGGGCAGGACAGGAATAAAGACACAGACGTAGAGAATGGACTTGAGGACACGGGCAGGGGGAAGGGTAAGCTGGGACGAAGTGAGAGAGTGGCATGGACTTATATATACTACCAAACGTAAAATAGATAGCTAGTGGGAAGCAGCTGCATAGCACAGGGAGATCAGCTCGGTGCTTTGTGACCACCCAGAGGGGTGGGATAGGGAGGGTGGGAGGGAGAGGAAAGAGGGAGGAGATATGGGGATATATGTATATGTATAGCTGATTCACTTTGTTATAAAGCAGAAACTGACACACCATTGTAAAGCAATTATACTCCAATAAAGACGTTAAAGAACCCAAATCAAATCAAATCAAAAGGCCAGAGTCTGCCCTGATTCTCTAGAGGACAGTGTTTCCCACTCCCCAACTCTTCTACACCAACTGGATCTGTGGGATGTTAGCAGGGACCAAGCCAAAAAAAAAAAAAAGAAAGAAAGAAAAGAAAAAAGGAGAGCTCTCCATCATGTCCATTAAGAAGCACCAAGTTAAACCAAGCTCTGTTACTGCAGGACTTCTCAGAGCCTTTAATATACCAATGTGCACAGGGTTCTCCAACACAGCAAAAGGACAGATGGTTCTTCCCACTTGGAAACTACCCAGCAAGTTTTCCTAGAGGAACTCAACCCTAGTAATGGGTCTGCAGAACCTTAACTGTAGCACTTACTGTTCCCTCGTGGAGTGAGGTGTATCTATTTCTCCAAGTAGACGGCAGTCACCTCCTTATGCTCCAGAGTGCCAGGCACAGGACCACTGAGTCCAAACACTGTCCTGGGCACGAGTCACTCAGCCCTCCCTCCCAGCTTCCCTGTGCAGAAGGGCCTGCTTTTGTGTGTGGCTCTTGAATAATGTAGAGATGAATGCTTCTTGGAGCCGCCTTGGAAAACCCTTTCTGATCCTCTCGCAGCCCTCCTACGATATGTAGATATTTCTTCGAATCAGTAATACATGCACATGATCTAAAATTCACAAAGTATGAAATTAAAAAGTCTCCTTTCCCATTCCCAAAGGCATCTGGTGATAACGGTTCCTTGAGGAAACTCTATTATTATTCCCACTTTCCAGATGGGAAAACTGAGGCTCGGACAAGTTAAGCAACTTGCCCAAGGCCAGCCTACCATTCTATTGGCCTCTACTCCACACTGAAGGTTCCCAGAGTCTCATCCCAACAGTCTACAGATGTGAAGTAGGGGCTTGCTAAATTGTGGTTGAGCAGGGGGTAAATCCTCAGCGGGTCAGACATCACCATCATGGATGCTAAGTGTCTAGATGCCTAGAGGGCAGGGAGGTGCCATATAGGGAGAGGAAATAAACACAAACAGCCGCCACCAAGGCTACCCTGTCCTTGTAGAGCTGCTGTGTGGCTCCTGAGACCAGGTGTCCAAGCCCAGGGCCATGGGGGGCTGGTGAGGGGCTCACTTGGCCTCCCTCTGCTAAGCGAAGGCCTGGGCATCCATCGGTGCTGGCTTTGCCTGCCCTGCCCTGGGCGTGCCAGCCTCCTGCCCCCAACATGTCTGGGTCTCGGGGAGACCAAGTGAAGCAAGCCCTCGAAAGCCATCTGGGAATGGTGGGGTCTGGGTGGCCTTAGGACCCGCACTGCACTGCCTCTCTGACCCCCACCATGGGTGTTGCTTTGCCTTTTTTCCCCTGAGAAATACATACACATCGTGCAAAATTAGGACAATAACAAAAAAGCAAAATGAGGAAGGTCACACAGATAGAGCCCTGCTTAACACTGTGTTGTGAATTTTCTTACACCCTTCCCTGGGCATATATACAATTCAGTTTTCCTCCCTCCCTCCCTCCCTCCTTTCCTTCCTTCCTTTTTGGAAGAATAGGGTCATGTAGATGCTATTACATGATACTTAACTACATATCACGGCAGTTGTACTGTGTTAATAAGTCACGGTCTCCACATGAAACTATGGTTCTATAGTTTGGATTTATTAAACTTCATTAAATCAACCCGCCACTGATGGGAGTTTAAATTGTTTCCAATTTTTCACGCTTCTGAACAGTGCTGCAAACATCATTGTGGCACACCCATTATCAGACGGCTGTTGGTTACTGCCTCAGGAAATATTCCCAGGAGTGACAGCGCCGGGTCAAGGGATATGTGTACATAGATGATGACGTACAGTGTACATAGGTGATGACGTACAGTGTACATAGATGATGACGTACAGTGTACATAGATGATGACGTACAGTGTACATAGGTGATGACGTACAGTGTACATAGGTGATGACGTATAGTGTACATAGGTGATGACGTATATCGTCAGACTGCCCTCAGGAAGGAAAGTCAGATCCCCAGCGGGGCGCTAAGTGACTTCAGGGCAGGGACCCCACATTACACGCTCAATTGTGTTAAAATACACACACTATAAAATTTACCATCATAACCATTTGTAAGTGTACAGTTCAGTATGTTAAGTACATTCACATTGTTGGGTAGCCCATTTCCAGAACTCTTTTAATCTTGTAAAACTGACACTTTACCCATTAAACAAGTCCCCAGGCCCGTCTCCCCCAAACCCTGGTGACCACTGTTCTACTTTCTATCTACGAATTAAGTGGAATCATAGAGTACTTGCCTTTTTGACGTACATACAGTATTCGTTATTTCACTGAGCATAATGTCCTTAAGGTTTATCAACATGTGTCAGATCTTTCTTCCTTTTTTGAGGCTGAATAATATTCCGTTTTATGTATACACCACATTTTCTTTATCCACTCATCCGTTGATGGACACTGGGTTGCTTCCACCTTTTGGCTGCTCCTTTATTTTTGTCTGTCTCTCCCACCAGAGTCTGCCAGCCGGGAGGGAGGTCCAGGGCGTCTCTGCTCAACACTGGATCTTTAAGCTCCTAGCCCACGCCTGACACATAGTAGGTGCTCCGTAAACACCGGCTGAATGACTGAATTGGCAGCCGTGGGTTGTTTGCTGGAGCGTGACCCAATCCATATAGTCTGTCGCCTTCCTGGGGAAGTGGCCGGAGGGTTTCACCCAAGTTCTTGTAATTAATCAAGTGGATTTACCACTTCAGATTAAAAGGGGGATAAAGAGGGAGTGCCTAGCAGGGCGTGCCAAGGTGCACATCCCTGACCTTGAACTTCAGGGCACAAGGCAGCCAGGTGCTCCCAGTCTTTCCTCGAGCACCAGTGAGACCCACAGCCCCAGCTGCCCCTGCCCACCCTGGCATATCACAGCCAGCGGGCCCCATGCCATCAGCTTCATTTCCTGTTGCAACAATCCACCTCCATCCCTACCACCCACTTAAAAAACACTGATCAGTCAAGTGCTTTTGGAAAACGGGATAAAGAGCACAAGACCCAAAGTATTAGGTTGAATTGCATGAAACTACTGATATTCAACCTTTTGTGTGTGTGTGTGTGTGTGTGTGTGTGTGTGTTCAACCATTTTTGACCTATAAAAACCCCTGTCAGTTTCATACAATTCACTCCGATATTTATGCGCAGCAGGGGCCATGTCCCCACGGGTCTGCCAGGCGTGCAGCGCCTCCCTGGGGTCTAGAAGGCAGGTGAGTTCATTGTACTGGGGCCTTGGTCTGTCCGTTTCTCTCATGCTGGCGCTGCAGTCCGGGCGGAAGGCCGGATACTGCTGTGATGGGCAGAGGCCAGACCAGACTGGCTGGTGATCCCGGACCAGCTGGAGGAG